TGATTTAAATTGGACACAAGGCTAGATTAACATCTCTCTCTCTCTCTCTCTCTCTCTCTCTCTCTCTCTCTCTCTCTCTCTTAACCTTCCTGCCCTGCCTCACACCTTTCCCACCTCCAACTGCCAAATTCAAAATTCAAATCTTGAACTTCACAGTAAAAAAACACTATGGGTTAACAACAATCAAGGACGGAACCGGGATTATATTTTGGGGGGGGGGGGGGGGGAGGGACGAAAAAAGAGGAATAGCAAAGTTCAAATTACAAGATAATGTCAAGCATCCAACCTTTTTTTTTTATCATAATAGATAAAGTCTAAAATAAAATATCACGAACTAAATTCATTAGGAAGTCAAGAAATTTTGATAAATAATCCAATAGCAGCTACTAAATTACCTCCAAAACAAAAGGAAGTCTAACAAAAGCATATGAATAAAAAGCTAAAAACCAATATGAATGGCAACATAATGAAAGTTACAAATCCCTCAAAACTTAGAGGTTTTGAATTCAAATTCCTTTTCTCTCCCCATTCCTTAAATCCAACCCTTCCCCTACTAAAAAAGAAAATATAAAGTTGCAATTTCCTTTAGGTTATCGACATGGAACAACTGATAGTTGTAACTCTTACTAATAAAAAGGAATAATTGTTCATAAAATTTTTCAAAAAAATCTAAAATGAAAAAAAAACTTTCCTTGGAAGAACAGAGTTTGGATAATTGGAGAGAATTCATAGTTGAAAACAAACTACAAATTTGGTATTATGTCGTAAGTAACTTATATAGGCAACAAATATTGTTACTTTGACTAATACCCATACTTTTTCTAATTTAATGTGGTACATTTTTTTTTATTGAGATTGCATTTCTTTTTGTTTTCCATTTATTTTGTTTTTGTTTAAAGTTAGTCTCCATCTTTGGATTGTAGTAACCCTATAAAGTAGGGCATTAGGAGTTGCATAGTCATAGAGATATTTATGAAGAGGATTAACTTTCACCTAATTAACATGCTTGAGTTCATGATCCAAGCTCCAAAACTAGGAATTTTTTAATATAGACTATATTCTTGATAGGCTAGCTATATTTCCAGAATAATAATGCTCCTGTCATAGCAAATTTTTCTTAAATGCCAAACTTACTCTCAATCAGTCAACTCTATATATTCTTCATAATTTTTTTAGATCTATTAAATACTAATTACTCATCTTCTTATCTCTTCAAATGAAAGTTTTTTCCTACTGATTCTCTTACATTCTTCTCTCTCTCTCTCTCTCTCTCTCTCTCTCTCTCTCTCTCTCTCTCTCTCTCTCATATTAATTCATCAATTATATTCATGATTTACTAAATTGGTCTTAAATTTAATAATTTCTTGTATACTAATTCTACATCCTCCTATATTTTTCTATTTTCATAATTTTACTCAAAATGTTCTTTTTTCAAACACAACATAATTAAGTCAAAACAAATAATAGTTTAAAATTAAAATAATCCAGAAAATAGCCTACTTTCTCTTCAATATTCAAGGGATATACACTGTAATGTAATTTAAACTTACTTTCATCTAATTATTAGAGAATATGAATACTTTAATAGAATAAAATCTTATGTCATAAATATGAATATTTGACAAAAGATCAAAATCAAAACTTATATAACAAGTATAAAAGAGGAAAAGATGGAAAAGCTTTAATAAAATTAGTTGCTTAAAGGCATGATAAACAAGTAGAATTCAAAGGAAAAATGCATGTTGCATGTGAAAATAATTTTATGGTAAAGTATTGAGTTACAATGATATCATAATAGTAATTATTTTAAACTGAAATTTGTTGGAGTTAAATGAAGTTCTATTTGTGAAAAATAAATAAGTGAATAATAAAAGTTTTAGAATTGAATAAAAAAGCAAGAACACATAGAACCAAAAAGATACAAGAAAGGATTAAGGCAAAAACTACATTATTTAATTATAAAATAATAGATATATTAGTGTGTGAGTGAGAAGGAGAGAAATGATAATAATAGGAAGTAAAGTGAGAGTCCCAAACAGAAAATACTTAATTAGATAAAGAAAAGTGGAGTAATTTATGTAGAATGAATCCTAAAAAAATCAATGAACATATATAATGTTGATTTATTGAGAATAATCTTAGCATTTGAGTAAAATGTGCTCTAACAAGAAGATAATTGCTCTAACAATATGGTTTGCCTAATTGATGTAAAGCACACACTAATCAGTGGAGTTTGCCTCACGTAGCATGTACAACCACATTAAATTGAGTATGTTAACTAAGAAAAATGTCCAAGGAACACAGCAATAGTGATTGGATGGGATCCTTGGGGGACGGCTACCCCTCCCTCCCTTTAGTTCTTGAGGCTAGATAAACATTTCTCACATATAAGATCAGTACTTTATACACAAACCACGGTACTTTATGTACAAGCACAAGTAATTCTTTCTACAATTGTGAATCAACTTAAGTTATTAGTATATCAAAATTTTCATTCATTTTTGCATCCATTAAAGAGGATTTTCTTTTTTTTCATTGAAGTGCGCATATTTGAGTAATTTTACATTTAATTTGGGCACTTCTGCACAGAAGATTTATGTCTTTTGTTTGTTAGGTCTTGCACATATTTTTAGTTAGTCATAATGTGCATATCTATACTCATTAAAGTGCGCCTAAGAAACTTTACAATCATATTTGGGCATTTTTATTTTAACAAAATGATGCGAACTCGATCCAACAAGAACCTATCTTGAAGAACCAAGTTGATCAGGCAGCGGAAGGATCTATTCTGACCAAGTTATGGATACAAAAGATGGAAAAACCTCGACCCTTTAACCCGCGAAATTATGAACCTTGAATTTAATCGCAACCCATAACTCAACAAGATAGCGAACCAAGATGTATTGGTAGAATGGCGCCACAATTCAACATGGTCTTGAATTGATAAGTCAAAACTTGAACAAAGGAGATTCGACTCACTTTGTATCAAGAGACGTTCCCAAGGAACAAGAAAAGAGAAAACTCTCAATTTTTATTCATCTCATAATTGTTTTACAATGGAATAGAAAAGACCTATTTATAGATAAAATCTAAACTACTAAGACTAATCCAATTTAGATAAAGATTTAGTCACTTATTTCCCTAACTACTTTTAAATGGCTCAAATAACTCATATAGTCGGCTATATTTATTCATAATAATGACTAACTAACCAACTAAACAAGAAAAAATCAAACAAAACAAAAGAAATCAAAAATTCAAAAATCACATAACTGGCGCTCTATCGCTTCCACGACTTCATGTATTCTAATGGAGTCTTGAATATCATGGATTGGATTGAAAAGGCTCTCAAGCATCTTGACACGAGTTAGTGATGGTCCTACTGCTCGTATCATTCCCCTTCTCTTGAAAGCGATTTGTCCTTAAATCGAGATTTGGCCAAAAGAAACTTGCGGTTTGGCAGATTTCCTTATGGCTGGAATTGGAAACTAGAATTTCTGAAAATTTCTCTTTTTCCCATGTAATTAAGGATTGGAAATAATAACTTTAATGGACTCTAAAAAATGCTACGAATTGGACAACAAAGAAAAGGTGCGCACAACGGGAAAAGGAAAGTCACGGACTTACTAATCCTAAGTAGACTAGGAATTGAAACCCTAATGACTCTTTTACCACTTAACCATGAATGGATACCAAAAACGAAGAAACAAACACAAAAATATAATATGAAATTTATTTTATTCGGGTTGACAGTAATCGCTATAGTAGCGATGAACAGTACTCACTACAGTACCGTGAATAGTATCGATTTTTTTTTTTGACGACTCAATAGAGGGTCATGACTTCACTTGGAAGAAATTTAATGGGAGTTAAACCCTTGAAAAACCTGTTTCCAAGAACTTAATCACACCAAAAAATTTCAATCTTGATCAATCAATGGTGTAGGTTAGACTCAAGCGATAAAATCAAAAAAACAAGAATCAAAAATTTTTTTTATTTTTTAAATCAAAAGGCGGCTAAGGTTATGGTAGAAAAATAAATAGGAAAAACAAGAAAAAAGGATATTAACCTAAATCAAGAGCCGAAACTCTGATACCAATTGATGCGAACTCGACTCAACAAGGACCTGTCTTGAAGAACCAAGTTGATCAGGCAGCGAAAAGATCTATTTTGACCAGGTTATGGATACAAAAGATGAAAAAATCTCGACCCCTTTAACCTGTTAAGTTATGAACCTTGAATTTAATCACGACCCACTACTCAATAAGATAGCGAACTAAGATGTATTGGTAGAATGGTGCCACAATTCAACATGGTCTTGAATTGATAAGTCAAAACTTGAACAAAAGAGATTCGACTCACTTTGTATCAAGTGACGTACCCAAGGAACAAGAAAAGAGAAAACTCTCAATTTTTATTCATCTCATAATTGTCTTACAATGGAATAGAAGAGATCTATTTATAGCTAAAATCTAAACTCCTAAAACTAATCCAATTTGGATGAAAATTTAGTCACTTATTTCTCTAACTACTTTTAAATGGCTCAAATAGCTCACATAGCTGGCCATATTTATTCATAATAATGACTAACTAACCAACTAAACAAGAAAAAATCAAGCAAAATAAAAGAAATCAAAAACCCGAAAACCACATAGCTGGCGCTCTATCGCCTCCACGACTTCATCTATTCTAATGGAGTCTTGAACATCATGGATTGAATTGAAAAGGCTCTCAAGCATCTTGACACGAGTTAGTGATGGTCCTACTGCCTCATCATAGCTAAATTTTGGCTCCCTATGCTTCTCAAATTCGGGAACATATAATTGCAAAACCACCTTGACTAGCAATAATATGCAAATTTTTCTTTTTTTGACCAATAATCAAAGAAATTAGTCTACAAAAGTCCCACTTGGCTCCATATGCACATGTAATGATACTAGGAGACATGGAGAGCTTATTGCCCGGTGACAATTTATCATGGATAACCATAAAGCATATGTAGTGTGTATATAATTTAAAAATTAATAAGAAAATTAACGTTATTAAATGTAATAAGTGGAAATACAAGTAACAGTAATTAAAGAAAATTGTACATGTTATAGCAATAAATAAACTAAATGTGGAACTTATGATGCCATGGATACATGATTTCAAGTCCATTCATTCTAAAGACCAAAACAGCAAGTGAATTACAAGATTGAGACATAAAGAAAAGGGTCTCTCCTTCTCCAAGGTCATGATCAATAACAAAGGCATTCCAGTTTTGGTAAAATTTATTGTTTGTCATTCCAAAATTGTATATCCTATTTCGGCTCGTGAGGACCATAGATGGTATCCTGGATTCACTTAATCTCGATCAGCAAACTGCATAATTTTTTGCCAAACAAATAGCTTATAATACTGATCAATACAAAACAAAAAGAAGCCAAATATTGAAAAATATTTAAGCATACATATACATACCGTGTTGGAGGAAAACATTTGGTAGAAAGTATCTAATGCCATCAGATCATGTGAGAAAAATCGACTAATTGATGGCATGACTAAATGCAAATCTAGTTGGTTATTATCAAACCCTGCAATACGAAAATTGTACATGAGAACATGTATATTTTTTAAAGGGAAAGGTGAAGTAGGGGCAAAATAAGTTTCCTTGTGAAATTGATGAGTTATGAGGGATTATTGGAATGTGTAATGTCCAGCGCATTAGAACAATCTTTCGATCAAATTCAAAAGTAAATATGTCATATACAAAACTTCCTTTATTCTTTAAAAATATCATGTCATTTTTGTCAATATAGTTATCTGAACAAAAAGTTTTCCTTTCTCCTTCGAACTTGTTTGCATAGATATACATGCCATTACTCTTATGTAATGCGCATCACACCCTCTTATTATGATATCTAACTACTATTCACCCAATTTTTACTAGAATAACACCCTAGAAGCCTTTTTGTATAAATTTTTATGAAACCTTATATTGCTATTTTTGTTTTCTCGTGTATGCAAATTTTCAACAAATTTTCCAACATCACTTTATGTAAGCTATTTGGAACATGGTAAAAGAATTCGCTCCTGATCAAACTTAATTACTAATAAGAGGAATGAAAACTATCTAAAACAAGAAAGTGCTTAAAAACAGTTGTCAAAATTAGACAATCTTAATAGGAAGTACTTTACTTAATATGTTCTGCCAGTGATCAATTCACACAAGACTATAGTATATCTCCCATTGGTATTAATCCGAGTAATAATCTATACAAAGAAGAGACAAAATAGATATTACCAGTTCCAAAACTACCACAAAATGAACACAAACTATACACATATAGAGAATGCATATAGCAAAGAAATTATCTTCTTTTACTTCAATATATAAAATACAACATCAGGTCCAATTCTAGCAGTCAAATGTTTGAAACATATGCATTCTCCTTTCTGGGCATTTCTTTTTGCAATTCACGAAATTTAATAATGTCACTTTTTCCTAGTCTCGACATTAGCAAGATTACCATTTTTTCAAGTAACATGAGACAAAAGACTTCAATAAGAGATGCATAAATTTCATTACCTTTATAATCTTTTACCATTGAAGTTATTAATCTTATCAAAGACAACAATGAAAATTTTAAATTAGACTTATAGTAACAAAAAGTGCCTCTTTTTCACTGTCTTCCAATATAGAAGCAAAATAACCAAACAAAGCCTCTATCAGCTAAAAAGGCAAACTTTCAATCCCCAAAAAGACAACTACCTCAAGTACAAAAGTTGACAACTTGAAAGAGCAGAGGAACTGTTATTAGATAACTTGTTAGCTACCATAAGCGAAGATAGAATAATAACTACCTAAAATTGAAAAAGAGAAAACGCAAACAATTTCGCTCCAAGTGAGAGTTTCATGAGAATTAGATCAATTTAAAAAGAATAAATTGAAAACCAGTGGCAATAATGCTAATAACTTAATAAATAACCATAGTAGTTATAGCAGCCAACGAACTCTTAGTAGAAGAGAGGTAAAAAAAAGACCAAGAAAGCAGGTCAGACAAAAAGTCATAATGCTTTCGTTCCCAAAATGATATTCAAAATATTGTCAAGTATGACATGCTCTACCAACATATGATTATTACATTCTCAATTCAAAAGTGAAAAAATGGTTTCTATTCAATTTTAGAAAACACATGTAAGTAATCTCCAACAAATTCATAAACCAATTTTTTTTAATCAATAAAACATATGACAAACACCTATTCTAACTTTTCACTGTGTTGTGGTCAGTTCCAACATTATAATATAAAGAGTTGTTTGACATGCCAAAATAGGGAGCATTTCATAACAAAGCAAGAGATCATCGTTAAGTATTTATAAATGGCTGCCTATGATGGCCAATCTTTTTTGTATCAATAGAAAAAAAATGAGAAAAATCTCTCTAAAATGTACATCATAGGGAATGAAAGGCGGTTTAATCTCCAATGACATGCTAAGATTGCATAACAAAACCAACTTACAAACTGACAACCTTTACCCATTTTCTCTATTGAGAATGACCGGAGTGATATTTAGAAAATATTGAAAAATTTCAACACTTGAAACAATTAGGACTAAGTTATAATCAACAAGCTGGAATCAGAAGCACACAACAATGCACAACTCAAAAGAATAACAATTATCAAATAATGGTAGTAAATCAACTAAAACAAACCCAATTTGACGAACTCCAAATGATGCTTAAAAATAAATCAACAGGGAGAAAGGGGATGATAGGGCATACTATTTCCAATTGAGAGGAAGCCTCTTGCTTTCTTGTCGTAACATGGAGTTGAATCTTGCTTACCACCAAAATCAATTTCAACTTGAAATTCTTGTCATTCTTGTTCCTCACCAGATGCTTCCTAATTGTGACTGCTTTCTTGATCTTGTGGAATAGATCCTCTAGAATCTCAAGTGCAAGTTCTGCCAGCCCCAAAAATTCCGATATTATTGTAAAAACTTCAAGAATAAGAATAAAATGCAATAATGAAAATGATGTCGATTTAATTTAATTCTATAATTATATATACCCTGAGTCTTAAGGATACATAAGATCTTGTTGCGAGTGACACTCTTAAATTGTGCCATACTATGAGAGTCATGAAAAATAGTACACTATTACGAAATGGTGCCATCTGCCAAGCTGCATATATTATTTTCAACTTATTTTAACTTATCAATTTATCTAAAAATCATAATAAAAAATAGAAAAACAGAACAATATGAATGTATACTTATACATCTAGAAAAATAGTAAAATAATAAATTCAACTAACATCAGGGGAGGAGATCTTGCAACAACTTGGAAGGGTTCTTTTGTAAAGGTAATCAAATGCAAAAATACCCCTACTAGATTCTATCATAACCATTCTGTCATCAGCAAAAAAAAAAATTAGAGAAAAAAATCAGCCTCTACTTTAAAAATGAATTAAATGATCATGAGTAACTACAATCGTTTGTTCGCCTGAGAGAGATAGAAAGAAAATAGGCTCGCGACTGTGCATGTGAAGGCCACAAATCTTGTCAAGTGTTTACCCTAGCCAATCTCGATATACAAGCACATAAAAAAAAGAATAAAACAGGTATCAAAAAGAGCAAAAAATCCATTAAGGGAAAAATAAAGATTGGAAACAATAAATTTTAAAAAAGGTCAAAGAGAAAGAGTCATGGAATTAGGCTAGAACATGATGTTGGATATCGTCCAATAACATGAAGAATGGTAGCCTAATTTATGGGTAAAAGAATCTAGCCAAGATGCCTACATGCAACCATGCCATTTCAAAGATGTAGAAAGTGGAAGCATGCAAATAGAAAAAACACGAAATCAGAAGCAAATTAATAAAGCTAACACGTGTCATGTATTACCTTTTCCTATTCATTTGAATTGCAATGATTGAAGTAAGAAAGTTTAGCTCTAGAAAGCAGCTCCAATCATGATATTAAACAAACATAATCTCCATGGAAATAAATATGGCTGTTGAAATTAGATGTGAGATAAGAAAGCAACACCCAGAAATTGTTAGTACAATAGTAGAGCTAGAAGACATTAGATTAAGATCTAGTATTCACCACAAAAAAAAACATAGCTAATAATTGTAAGAACCTATTCACTAGCCCCAATAGTGCAGGAAGGGTTGAGCTGGATAACATTTCAACCACAACAAAAAGCTCCAATAGCTAGCAAAGAGAAGATGAGAGATCTCAAAATACATGAAATGAAATTTTTGCTACTCTTCTAAGTCTACCACTTCAAGAATAAACATTGTCGAATTGGATTTATTGACCAGAATCAAACACTGGATGATGGAAATAGGAAAAAAAATGACACGCTAGATTTAAAGAATCAAATCTTAAACATGTACTGCTCTTATGTGCTTTCTTAAACTAGCGATCTAATCAAATGTCACAATTTTGTCATCAACCACAAAACACTAAATTTACAAAACCTGATCAAGCTTACAATCAATATCTTCAACCAAAATAGAAAATTATTAAAGGCAAAAAAATAAAAAAATTCAAGCTTGCCATCCCTAGTTCCAATAGGAAAGCAGCTACAAAAAATATAAGAAATTTAATAAATAATGACAATTTAATCAGATTAAGCTGATAAATAAAATACATCAAAAAAATGAAAAAAAATTCTCATCCAAAGAAGAGAAAAGAAAAAAAAAGTATCCCATAAAACGAAGATCCACATCTTAAAAAAACCTATGCATTGTTCTTGGTATTATTGATTAATTTAAAAGAAAGAGAGATAGAGTGAGAAAGAACTTGAGAGAATTAAGAAGAGAGAGTAGCGGAGAGAGGTGAGATGAAGCAGGGGATTTGAGGAGTGTAACCTCCATGACACTTATTCTCAAGTAGCGGATTTCACTAAAATCTGGTGGTTGCGTAATATGAAAATTTTAGAGAGGAGAGGAGGAAGCATGAAATGAAGCGGTGGAAGTTTGTGAAAAGAACATATGCGTCATCCAACCCTAGTTACTCAAAAATAGCGAAACTCTAACTATAGCGCGAACAATGTCAGCGATAAATAGGTGGGAGAAAAACCCTAAAAAAAAAGACCACGATCATAAAAGGGAAAACAAAAAATATAATAGGAATGAGGAATGGAGAAAACGAGGTACAGAGAAGGAAGCCGCCAAAAGGCAAGAAAATAGGTGAAAATTTCATCTAGGTCAAAAGAAATCTCACCTCTGATTGTTAGGCAGAGAAGGAATCTTTTTTTTTTTTTAGTGTAAGCTGGAGGACTCGAACCCGAGACCTCTTGCTTACACTCCCTCCCTCCTAGGCAGAGAAGGAATCTTAAGCAAAGCATGAAGCCATAAATCCATAGAACAAAATCCACTAGGTAATATGCCTAACTCCAATGAGGAAAGATTCTTGTCACCCCTTCAGGTAGAGGCAGAGAAGGAATCTTAAGCAAAGCATGAAGCCATAAATCCATAGAACAAAATCCACTAGGTAATATGCCTAACTCCAATGAGGAAAGATTCTTGTCACCCCTTCAGGTAGAGAACCACAAAGATAGCAGATGAAGAAGGAAAAATGAAAAAGCATATGCGTGCCTTGGTGAAAGGGAATAGTGTAATACCCGGTTATTTTTTTAACAAAGATATTGCAAAATTAACAAATAAATAGATATTATTTGATAATAGATAAATATATATTATCACAAGTAATATTGTGTAGTGGTAGTTAGTTACTAATGTTGTGTTAAATGATTAGTGCATTCCTAATTTATCATATCCCAACTACTAAGGTTAGTGAGTAGTTTGAAGTTTAGTGGGAGGAAGTTGGGGAGAATGTTACGTGACTCACCAACCACTATCAAAATGAATGGTCCCTTACTTTTCTTATCCAGCAATCACCAAGAATAAGAAGAATTTTGTGTCTGCATTGTCTACAAAAATTTTTTGCATTGTCTAGGGAAATAAAGAGAGCAAGGGATGCAAGGTGAGAAGATGACTCAGGGTTGATGTCTTGGATAATGACCACGTTAGACTTGACCTTTTTGTTAATTTCTTTACAAATTTATTTCTTAAGCTTTGAAATTTAGGCCAAATTTCTTTATGTGGTGTTAGGACACATAATGGAATATTGTGTTTCTATGAAAAAAAAACTGAGTAAGCTTTTATTTCTTTCAATCGAATTGATCAAATTCACGAATTAACTTAAGAGCCAAATATCTATGTTTGTGTTGTTATATAGAGACTTTCTCTTATGCACTTTTAGGAGTTTGCAATCAATATTAGTATTGTTTCTGATGTTAAAAAGTTTAGTATAATCAGACGAAAGCATCTTGTGTCCAATGAATATGCATGGTTGACGGCTTTCATATTGATGATTCATGAAGATGACTATTGAAACTGAAATTTTTCAGAATAGGGAACAATCTTGATTAGGCTAGAATTTTGTAGAAACAAAAAAAAAAAAAAAGATGAGCTATAATTAGAGAAATGTGCAAAACAAGTGCAGATGGTTACTTGAATGGTGGTAACGGTTTGGGATTGAAGGTTATGTTAGTGATTAGTTCCCTGGGAAAAGACATACTAAATTACAGATTTAGTTTCAAAATATGTTATTATGGCAAAATGACCTTTAAAGTTCTAAGATAATGATGATAAAGCAATTAAAATATTTCGAAAATTCCTTTATGTCCCAAAAGGTTTGAAATTGGACTAGTTTTGAATTAACTAGTCCCATTAGTTAAACTGAATCCAAAGTGTTTAATAATTAACCCAACAAAATATAATAATATAGTGAAATTTCTAAATTAATTAGACCAAGTCATTTTCATAAAATTAGATTATTTTGAAACACCAGATTTATTGTAATGACCTAAATATAGGTATTTATTTTAAAAAGTTCCTTGTTATCATAAAGAACCAATTTTAGCTAAATGAACTCAAAAACTCTTTTAAGTACCCAATTCAATCGTGAATCCAAATACCAATTGACATAACTCTGAGGCCTAGTCTAAACTCTGAATGGACATAACTCTGAGGCCTAGTCTAAACTCAAATTCGGTTTGAACTAATGTAGGGTTGTTTATACTAGAATATAAAGTTTCTTTGTAAATATATGAATTTAGGAAATTTCTAAAAATAAAAAGAAAGAAAAGTTTTCAAATTGAGGAACTTTCTGAAAAGGAAAAAAAATGAAATGAAACTGTCTAAGTTAGGAAATTTTCTAGGAAGGGGAACCATTCTATTTTTTTTAGGAAACTATTCAAGTGCCTTTTAGAGAATGTCCAAACATGTTTTCTAGGGTTATTTAAGGTAGGACTAGGTACTTTAAGAATAAGATAATTGAATTAATTCAGGTATATATGTTATTGGTTATAGGTTTGAAGCAAGTTTAAGGGCGCGTTAAGAATATCTTCAAGAAAACAGTTTGAGGTAGGTGGTGCTTATTCCTTTGTATTTTCTAAAACGTTAAATATGAATTTTCTCAATTAAATGCTTTATTTTGATATATGTAAAATGGATCATGTATGGCTATTTGAAATATTTTGCCATGCAATATTTTATGAAATGAGTGGCATATTTTCATGAAATGGAGGAAATGTGCATGTGACGTGTGAAATGATTTTATATTACAAAAAACTCTAAACAGTCATGAAATAGACAGTAGGGGTTATAGTTCGTGTATGTTATGTTATGTTAGTTATGGGAGTCGGTATAGAGTTCAGCCGATTGACTTATGTTATGTTATATGTCAAGGGGTTTACGCGAAACCTCTTGGTCACTCTCTTGGAAGGGATTAATCTCTAGGTTAAGTATTTAGAAGCCAAATATTGCATGTACTCGTTTATGAACCATGTTTATGAAATGAGAGCACATGATTGACATGTTTTATAATTTGCAGGTATGTTCTAATATGTTCAATGAATACGATCATGTCATATTATGTGTATTTCTATGTCATGTTCGGCAGAGGCCACCTCTAGAACCTACGGGATTAAGTGCCACATCGAATAGAGACTACTTATGCATATGCCACTCACCTTCAATAAAATATGTTTTTGTAATATATGAAATGGGATGACAAAGGTTTTTAATTGATATATGCATGTGGCATGGTGTGATCAAATTTGCAAATGTATATAGTATGTATCTAGCTACATGATTTAACAGAGGAATAAGTACTATCTGCTGGGCATACGTTGCTCAATCCACGTCTATTTATTTTTCTTGCAAATCAAGAAAGCCAATTCGTGTACATTTAGAAGATAAGTGAAAAAGATAAATAGATAGATGTTTAAATTCTAAGAAGTTGGAGTAAAACATTTTGTAGATGCAATTTAGTGAAATGTATGTATTTCATTGGTATCTATAAGACTTAAATTTTAGTAAAATTTTGTAAGTTATGATCATGATACCTTATATTTATAGGAGTAAGGTCTCATAAATATGGCGTGCCACGTTGCAAATCCGGTTCAAAGACCCGGATTTGGGGTGTGACAAATAAGGGGTGGGTAGGGAAGGGAGGGGGAATTTTCGGGCAGGGAGAACAAGAGAAAGTTGGAATATCATGCGGGAGGCATGTGATGACAACGAAAACTTGTGAGCAATACCCCCGGTTGGCGCTTAGTCTTATATATTGATCAGTAGATCTCACTTGGTATCTAAATTAGTATATATGATCTTTACATGTTGATATGAAACTTTTTTATTGGTCATCGGTCAATTACTAGACATACATAATAATTATTCGAACTGGCATAAAATTTTTCTTTGGTAAACCATAAATGTGTCATTTGTTCAAATTTTCAAATTAAAACGGGTAATTAATGATGTACCCAACTCATAGCTATTTTATACCTATCCATTACCCTACAAATTACTCATCAGTCACCAAGATAATCAATTCCAAGCCATCCATACATCATGGTCAAAGTCAAAGTATTGAAAGATGCTAAAAAAAATCAAGGCATGAAGCCTTTTTTTTTAAGTTTTTTCTCTCACGTGACATGTTAGTTTTGTCGATCGTCACTTTATTTATAATATTTTACATTATTTTAATCTAAAGGGAAGACCTAATTGAATTTAGGGGGGCTGATGGGGACAGAACCTATGTTTTCAAACTCGGACCGGGTCTCGACTCGGCCGAGTTCAGGGGTCATGGGTCAATGGGTTCGATCGGGTTCAACCGGGGTTGAATCGGATGATGTCATAAATATATATTAATAATAAATAATTAAAATAATATATAAAAATTCCCTTTAAATTGATGGTTTACAACTTTATATACATATCTAATGAGTTTTGATTTAGTCCAAAAGGACTGCACTTAAAAAATTTAAAATTTTTAGGTAAAGTTGTAGTTTAAAAAAATATAATAGGTTGATTTTATACTTATTAAAATAATATGGGGTCAAATTGATATTATTAAAAAAATTTTGAAACTACCAAACCTAATGGAATGTAAGCCGCCGCCCCTTGTTCCTTTGCTTTTGACTTTTCTTAGTTTCTTTTTCTTCCTCCCATTCACACAGCTCCTCTTATCCTTTATACTCTTCATTTCTCCTCCCATTCACCTCACTGTAACTCTTTTCTTTCTCTTTATCGCTTACAAATCAAACACACATGGAAACTCTATTATTTTTTGTTATTTTCCTTTTTCCCTCCTCTCTATTCTCTTCCCTTATTTACTCTATTCTTTATTTTTCCTCCCATTTGATTTCAAATATTTCAAGAACTAATTCACAGGAAATCGGGCTTAGAAAATTTAGGGAATGAATTTTTTCTCTTCATCTGACTACTTACTTCGTTTCTTTTAGAGTTGGTCAAAGATCAAAGGATGGAAAAGGAAAGAAAAAGCCAATATTAACTCAAGAGTTCAAGGCAGACATCAAGCATTGTATCATATATTTGATCACAAATCTTGTCTAGGCGGCCCTCATTTACAGATTTAGAGGTGAATAAGAAGGCATCTATTCTCTAAACCTTGAAAAAAGACAAGCCTAACAGCAAAGGTAAGTGAGGAGGAGAGATTTGGTTGGAAATTTTTTAGGCGCACTCCTGATGCTTGCAAGGAAGGAGTACAATCGAAACGGAGAAATGAAGAAAATCGGGTTCTTTCCAGTTCTAGCGGTTTCAGTCAAACCCGAGTTTTGACCGGATTGGACCGATTCTTTGATTGACAGTTTTTTAAAGAGATTCGGACCGGATGCTTAACCGGTTCCCGGTTCAATCGGTCGGACCGACCGACTCGGTCCGAGTCTGAAAACACTGTACAGAACCATTATCGGACTAGACAGGCTGAATCTTTCAAAAGATCACTTAATATGACAATTTATAAGAGACAAAATTTGAAGTTTGAACCCTACCTCCCACCCCACCGAGCCTTAAATGGCTCAGTGGGGGCTGGTGGTTTCACGTGGTATGTTAGTTGAAGACAGTTATGATGCATATGTTGTATTGAAGACATGTATTGGGATTCAAAATTAAAAGCAGAAGCTAGCACTTTTTTCCCATCTCAACGACTACATATTTCCTTCTTCACTGAGTAAAATCAGAAAGTTGAAGGAATCTATACGTTAATGGCGGAAAATTCTCAACTGTTGCTGGAAAAAGGAGCAGGAAAGCAGTCGAATTACTATGAAAATTGTCCAGGTTGCGCAATTGAACGCCTCAAATGCTCCAATGTCGGCATCCCTTTAAAGCACCTTTTCTTCATCGGCACTGTCACCCTCAGTGCGGGTTAGCGAAGCTCTTCTGTTTCGTCCTGATATCTCTATTTAATTATAGCAATTTTTATGGGTTTTTGATCTTCTTTGTTAGTAATTATTATTTCGCGGCAGAAGCTCAAGTTTCTCTTCGATGCCTTTGTGTGCATATTTGGGGGTTTGGTCGTTTGTAATATTTAAGTGGTTAAGTGTTGTATCCTGGTTAATGTTTAGGACCAGGGCAGTTACGGTTGGGATTTTCGTATACTTGATCGGTTATTGTACTTCCTTTCATGGTATCGCTTATATAATTTTGTTATACTTATAAATTTTATTCATGTATACCAATTTGTTACATAAAAATATAACTGGGTCTATAAGCATACCAAATTGTGGAAAAAATAACAATTGTACCCAATTGCACCAAACCCAATCATTCCTGCCCCAATCCCTCGACACTTGTGTTTATGGAGCCGAATCTAAGTGAAGGGATAAGGGTCGCCTTGAAACAAGGTAGGTACTGGAATCGTTGCCGTTGGTTGAGCAATTGCAAGATACAGTATGGCCCAGATGGTATAGTCCACATGGGGTTTATTTGAAAATTGAATTGATTGTGGAGCATTATTTTCTACAACTTTTGTGGTGTTTTTCCGAGGTAATTCTTAATATCTACATTTATTGTGATAGTGCTTGCATGTGTTGTTTTGTATATGACTAATTGTGTAAACCACAAAATCCAACGTGGTGTAACTCAAAGAAAGAGTGCAACACTGGACCAAAGCCTTTTTATGGTGTTAATTGGAAACTTTGAATGAGATTTAATTGCACAAACCCTCCTTAAACTTCTGGCGCAGTTTGCTCCGCTCAAGTTCATGCTTTTATTTTTTTCTTGGGGAATATGCCAGTTTTACCCCTAATTTAAGGTAATGTGAACTTCATTCATATAGTTTTCCATCTAATAGTTTTGTTAGATTTCTTTTTTATTTTCTTACTTCTTGGTATTTCTTTTTCTTGTTCATTTGCATGACCTTTCCTCTCGTTCCTCAATGTCAAACAGGAAAAGAATACCATTTATTTTGGATGACATTCATACCATATCAGATGTTGAGATTGTTATAATAAATCTTATCGAAATTTGGCTATATGGTGACCACAGTTATTTCAAATTATGTACTCTTAGACACAATTATATAGCTCCATTGTGTATTTGCAGTTTCAGTTCATTATAAATTTGTCTTACAAAAGTTAACTTTATACTCTGAATCTAAAGCATGTAACTTAAATTTCTTAGTATGTTTACTGAGGTTCAACGAATGACCTAGTGAAGTTTTAGCTGATCTTCACCTTGCCGATGGCAAATTAATTTTGAAACCTAGCAGGTCGAGTAATTTCATCTGCCACCTAGATTATTAAAAAAGCTCATCCTTTCCGATGAAAACACAAATGGTTCCTTGGGATTCTGAACTTAGAAGTAATCTGAAGTGAATTTAGGAATTAAAGTTATTACACATATAATATGTTCGCATTGTATATGAGTCCCTTCCGGGGCATAAAATTTTGACAGGGTAATGGAGACTAACCTAGATTTAAAAACTTGGGTCATAAAAAATATTGGGGAGGTTCCCTTAATCATTGACTATGTCTTAATTTGTTGGACTTGTTTTTTTCAATCGATTGTATTTTGTAACTAAAATTTGTCCTTCTGATGACAAATAGATGCTTTACCTTTTCCAATTCAGAGAAAATTACTTGATTAATATAGCAATGTAAAGTTTGTTCCACAAACTTGCACTCTTATACCATGTCTTCTCATGTCCATTTACAGCTTTGCCAATAACATCCCTCTTTCCTTTCCTATATTTTATGGTGAGTACCCTCAAGAGAACATTACTGGTAACATTCTGATATTTGAACATGTCTTTTCTATTCAAAAGTACCTCTGCTTTTGCTTTCTCTTCATTTGGTGTGATTTGTTTACCTATTTCTTAAGCTTTTTTAAATCTGAAGAACAAGCTGTAAAACAAATTGACTGTTTAGTGCAGTTTATTGATCATAGACTGCAGAACAACTAGAGGAATATTGCCTTTTGCAAAGAACCAGTTATCTTGAATGTTCTCAACCTTCTATTCTAGTATAACATGAGGCTTGTGGGGTAATTTGTTCTCAACCTTCGGTTCTAGTATAACATGAGGCTTGTGGGGTTGGTTGTTCTCAACCTTCTATTCTAGTACAACATGAGGCTCCGGGGTGTATCAATGGGTTCTGGGTGTTGGAGACAGAGGGGTGGGCAGAATATAGAGCTTTATCATAGTGTCTGAATAACAGATTTGGAATCATTGAATTTGGTTATCTTGAACAACATGGTTGTTATTTGACACAGATCGGGGATTTTCATATTGCAAAAACAGAGGAAGATATTGGTTATTATGCTGGATATGTAGGTAAGTAGTCTTAATTGCTGCTTTCCCTTATTAGCTATATGCTGAAAGTTGTCGAGCTAATTCTCATTCATTGAAGGATCTTCATTCATGTTTGGGAGAGCTTTAACATCTCTTTTATGGGGATTAGTAGCAGATCGGTATGGCCGAAAGCCAGTTATACTGATTGGCACTGTTGCAGTGTAAGGAATTCTGGTCTCACAACGTGCTTAATTTCTAGTTAAATGGGTTATTGATGTGGTTTGCTTCTTGAATCTATCCATTTCATTTTGTATCTCTAATTTATCAAGATCACAGGGTCATATTCAATACACTCTTTGGTCTTAGTTCGAATTTTTGGATGGCAGTTTCAATGAGGTTTCTTCTTGGAAGTTTGTCTGGAGTACTAGGACCAATGAGGGTATGCATTTATACTTGATTTTTCTATATGTTTCACTAGAACTCTTTGTGATTACAATTATGGATTGTGATGCTTGCGGTGTGCAGTCCTTGTGCTGAAGGGTGAATATGTCTATGTTATGGACTACCAGTTGTTCAATTGGTTGTTAAAGTGTAACAGTGGAACTTTATGGCCATTTAAGAACATAAATTTGCTGGTATTAGATGGAACATTAATTGTATTGTTATTTTTGGTTTGATTGTTAATATATTTTGTTCCTTTATTGGTTTTTTTATGGTTGATTCACTTCATGATTTCTTGAAATTTGTCAAATTTTTTACTATTTATTTATCAATTTGTGTCTGCTATTAAATAGAGACAGAGATTTCCATGTAAAGCCAACTGACCATATATTTTACTTTTATCAACTTCTGGTTCTCTTGCATATTCCCTAGTAAACATTCAAATCGCTAGGATGCTGTCTGATCTAAACAGAATTATTTGCTATGATGTTTTTGTTTGTCAATTCCCATTACAGTGTAATAACTGTCCCTGCACTTTCTACTTCTACAGTTAATTGATTTCCAACCAATTTAAATGAGATCACCTGGTAGTTCGATGGGTTTCATCTCTTTGGGATCTGTTTCTTAACATGATATCTCCAATCAAAAGTAGTTTGTGCTCTTTTCATGCCAAAGATTCCTGAAATAGTATATAAGGTAAAGAAATTGTTAGTACAGGATATTGTGACCCTGTACATAACAAATTCTTGGATTCCTTTAAGTAATTTCTTTAGACCAAAATAGCAAAAAAAAACTTGATTGTGGATCTATCTGTGTGTACTATGACAGCCTTGACTACAAGTGAGTTTTCCTGGTTCAAATGGAATGATAACTTTACAAACCTTTTGGTTTGTAATAACCTGAACTGATCTGTGCATATTTTCCTGAGATTCTTAGATGGATTAAGATATGCGATCTATGGCTACATGTGGCAATGATATAGGAAATTTAGTACCTTATGGCTTGTAATTTCTCCTCTTAATTATATTAGGCGTATGCTTCAGAAATTTGTCATAAAGAATATCAAGCACTGGGGATGTCAGTTGTAAGTCAACTCCCTACCCTTTTCTTTTTATTTTGACATTTCGTGAAAGTTAGTTTGTATTTTCTAAAGGGTTAATTACACTTTACCCCCCCTAAAGTCCAAATATATACACTTTATCCCTTGTGGTCAACTTTTTGATGGGGTTAAGATGAAGTTATATTTTTCATGACCAAAATATCCCTGGCTAATTCTTAAACACACATAATAATTGTGACATAATAAATACCTATTTCTTTAATAGTTGCTAAATGCATTTAAACACAATTACACTATGCATTTTGATCTTTTAGCACTAAAATGAATTAGATAATTCACAAAAAAGAAGTCTAAACAACTCAATGTATTTATCTCAATGCCGATAGTGATACTTATTTTAAATAAAATAAAATTAATTAGTGCATTTGGAATGAAAATTATTTGCTTATATTTTTTTATTGTAGCACTTTTTAATGTGTTTTATGAGATAAAAACATGATTAAAAGTAAAAAATATATTGAAAAATGTATTTAGAGAATTTTTAGTTTTTTTAAAATGTAGAAAGCAAATAAAATACAAAGTAAGGTATGAATGCGGTATAAAATTACCAAGTAGCATCTTATTGACTCTTGAAAACTTGTGAAAGCTGTAAAGTAAATGAAAATTATCAAAACTAATCCGTTTACAATTTAAAGGAAGAAAGATAAGCGATGGAAAACTTGTACAAATGCTTTAGGAATTTTTAAATTCTTTTTTCTCCACAATACAAATTTTCAATTCTTTGGTATTATACCATCTTTTATTTTTTAAATCATATGACTTTGTGTTTTTTCCAATAAAATGTTTCATATTCCGATTTAAAGTATAGCATTATTCTAGAACTATTATGTAAGGGCATTAATGTCATTTTGTTAAAATTTTGGATGGAGAAATCATGACTAACTTAGTCAATGAAGGGGGCAAAATGTATATATTTAAAATTTTAGGGGGGCAAAGTGTTATAAAGGGTCAAGTTCAAGGGGACGAACTGTAATTAACCCTTTTCTAAATGGATAACTTTTTTATACACTTTTAGTGTGTGTGTATATATATATATATATATATATATATATATTTTTTACACTAGCAGGTTTAGATCATGCCATATAATATGAATTCAAATTTTGAATTCAAATCATGCAAATGCGACATACATCCAAAGTTGCTAGTATAAAAATATTACTACACTGTTAGTGCATAAAAAATTAATCCTTTCTAAATACAAGTTATCCTATTGCTGTAGATAAGCACATCGTGGGGAGTAGGCTTGGTGATTGGACCAGCTATAGGTGGTTATCTCGCTCAGGTAAGGCTTCCAGTTTTATGGTCTATCTTGGAAATTTCTCATTTAATTTTTTTCCCAAAATACGTTTCTAAAGTTTTAAACAAACAGCATTCTCAGAATTCATCGGAATTTTTCTAGTAAAAGGGGTCTGGGGTTAAAACTAATGTGAAAATGCACTCACCTAGTGCTTCCAGAAATGACTGTTTCCTGCTCATGAGATAAGCTGGAAAAGCAAAAAAGAAAACAAAAACAACATCTCTTTAGAATTCTTCTTGAAGGAAGCCAACTGTTTTGGTGGGGGGGACATCATGGACCTCTACTGGTTTTCCTGAATATAAGTTGAGCAATCAAGGAGAGTGACATGTGATGCAACAGCTGTTAGGAAGTTCATGACCTAAAATAGTTTTACCGTTTATGTCAGGCTTAACCAGACATTGTAATTTAGCCCGCCCTTGCTTAAACTATTGAAAAATGGCTCAAAACTCAACTTGGATTTCCCTCCTATTCTTCTTCCTCTGTGTTAAAACCTCTTTTTCCACATCTCTTGTTTAATAACTAGAGGAAATGAAGCTTCTTTATGTTGAGATTTTTTTTTATACTGGACAATGCATGAATTATGTCATAGATGCAACCATAAATTACAAGCACATAGGCGGCTCTGCCGAATCAGAGCACTCTGTATGCATGGTTTTCCTTTCTCTTCGTTAAGTCTCTGGTCTTCTTACTTAAAAGGAGATCCTGTACTTGCTTCTCAGTTAACTTTGTCAGACTCCAATTCTAAATAAAATGCTAAAGTCAAGTAATCAATAGCTCAATACCCATGGTATAAACCATCAATCTTCCCATAATATTTCAATGTGGGATGTGGTGTGTGGCATATACCTTGAACGAAGATTGCTAATATCTCATCCGTAAGGATTCCAATTTTGGCTTCCAGATAAAAAGAAATGAATGAAGGAATTTTGCATTGACAGATTCTTTGAGAAATGTGGGAACCTTCTTCTAGCAAGCTCGTATGCACCTTAAACACTCTAGAAATAGTATTCTTCTATCTAGGCATTTCCTGATCAGCAGCATTCTTTGTTGTCTAGGTTATAATGGCCACATCTGCAGATAAAGTTTCAGAGAAACTTGTTTCACATGTCAATTACCCAAAAGCAGAAAATTAACAAAAAATAGTTCAAATAAAATTGATGCTATCATGTTCCATATTGGCTTTAAAATTTTAGAGACAAACTTCCCTGTCCAGTTGAAGTCCTAAAAAACCTGAAAGAAATGTCACCTATTTGAGTCAATTAATCCGAATTACCTTCAGCTTGGGTGCAATCTGCTACCCCTTTTTTGCTAGGTATGAGAATGTTAAGATTGGAATTAACTTATTTAAGCAAACAGGAAGAGGCAGTTAGCATTTGTCAAAAGAGTTCAAAGACTGCAATGACTTTAGTCAGCTTCCTTTCATAGAGATGAGAACTACATGGGGCAAGAACATCTGTACATTCTGACTGTAGCACATAAATTCTCATACAGAAACATTTTCTGTTAACAATTTTCTTAGTCCAAAATTGCATGGTCATCTTAAATCTTAGGATAGATAAACTTGCTCACTTGCTGCACCAATAAAGTGATTCCATTGCAAATTAGAATAAAGCAATATTGTCAAAGTAAATGTGTTCTTTCAATGCTACACTACACTAAATTGCAGTGTCATAGAGAAGCATTTTTCCTTCTTCGGTTATGTTAATTCAGTTTCCTTATATCACTTAGAGGAGTTGTTCCTTACCACCTGTTCCTTGATTCCAGAAATTTCCAATAAAATTTCTTTCTCTGGTTTCTACATCATTTACAATTCGTGAAAAATTCTTTCAGAAACTTTTGTCTTTTCATTTATATTGCTATGGAAACACTATATTACTTTACCTTGCAAGTTCTGTTTGCAAATCCTAGAACTGATCCTTCAGTGAGAATTTATTGGAGAAAAGAAAAAGGATGCACAAAAAGTTCATACTAGATTCCATCTTATTTCTTTATCTTTTTTTTTTCTTGGCCTGGGAAAGGTTTCTGTTCTTTCTTTTTCAATTCTTCCTTCTATGTGTAAGGTATAACTTTGTATTACCGGTTTTACATTTGTCATGTTCTCATCTTTCAGCTTCTTTTGAGCTTATTCAATTTTTTTGTTGTGCAATAACAGCCAGCTGATAAATATCCTGAAATTTTCTCTAAACAATCAGTATTTGGGAGGTAAGCAAATTGTTGATTTTCTATGCTATATTGCTTCCAAGGATCTGACTCAAGTAGTTCTTGTCATTATTTTCTTTTGTTCTTTATTAGCTTATCTTCTTCTCATCTTTCTACATGTTCAAATGCTTGATTATGATTATAGTAATTTTTTTAACTGTCAGGTTTCCATATCTTCTGCCCTGTCTCCTAATATCATTGTTTGCAGTAGTTGTATCAGTCGTATGTTGCTGGCTTCCAGTAAGTATCCTAGTCTTATGTTTTCCCTTTTTTACTGTAGCACATATAAAAAAATTCTCATTTCCTCTTTACAATTACAATTTCTTCTGTTTCCAGTTTCTTACTATCAGGTATAGATAAAATATGGCTTTCCATTTGATTCATTTGTGCTCGTTCCACTTCTATTGCTTCTAGACTTAGTTGTCTTTTTTGGATTTCTGAGACAAGGAAATAGGTACTTGGTTACATTTTCTCTATGTTGGTAATTTAATTGTGCAAATTTAGAGTTGAAAAGCATAAGTGCTTCAGAGAACAATGTCAATGGAAGGCAATTAACAGGTAAAAGGAGGATAATGTCTTTGTATAGAAAATCAAATGAGGATGGAAAAGGTCAGCTATTCTGATGTGTGGCCAAGCAATTGCTGATTTCTAGTTTTGACCTTGCAACTATAGGGGGAAACTTTGATGCATGCTTAACTTTTATCAATTGGAATAGTTTGTGTCTACTAACTATATCCAAATCTTTGGTGAAAGACAACAATGAATTGGATGTTTTATTATTTATTTTTGTATCTTTCTAGGAAACCCTGCACATCCATTGCCAAAACAAAGAATATGCTGCGTATAATGGTGTGGAGGCTGCTGCATATGATTCTACATTGCAAGAGAGAGATGGAAATTCTGGAGACAGTCTTCCTACTTCTCAGAGTAGTCTTCTAAAAAATTGGCCTTTAATGTCGTCTATTATAACGTATTGCGTTTTCCAACTTCATGACATGGCCTATACAGAGGTGATTTTCCCGTCTAAGCCTTTTTATTTTTTCTCCTCCTTTCAAAGATAAAAGTTGGTTATGTTTGATTTGTGTTTTACTTAATTCAAATTTCTTTTAGTTTCACGTTCAGGTGACACATGGTTTATTATGATGGCAAATAGTATCCGGCTTCAATTAGTACTTCTTTCCTATATCCATACTTAGATTACTTTGTTCAGATGGGTCTACTTAAGATACATGCATATGTGGCGCAAGTATGCATAAGCAGAATTGTTGTAATGATTGTTTGGATATTTTCATAGGGTTAAAATGCGTACATAGAAATAGCAAAACAGTAATAGTAACATTAATAATGAAGAGAGAAAAATTAAGTATGGCATAGACTATCTTTCAATCTATTTTATTAGGTTTGCAAAAACTTTTTCAAGCTAAGACTATCAGCTTTGCACCAAAAATTTTGTAGCCAGGAGTTGAGGTCTAAAATTTATACTCCTAACCCATTCTATTGTAGGGATTGCATACTAGTACATGCATCGTGCCAATGTTTCATTTTATTTTCTTCTGGATGTAAAATAGACTTTGGAAAGTGTGCCTGATTCTTGACAATGTTGAGTGGTCGAGATTTTCAACTTTTTAGATTTTAATTGTTCCGTCAAGGATTCAGTTTAGGTATTTTCAGCACTGTTACTTTAAGTGGATTATACCATTTGAAAATATAAAATGCATTTACTGTAAATTATGTAGATCTTTCTCCTTGCTACTGTGATTCATTTTATGGACAACGGAAAAAATGACTCAAAGCACCTATTCAATATCCGAACAGCATAACGTAAAACTGGTGCAAGTGTGGAAACTGCACCCACTTTCCTTGGGACACTAAACTTTGAGATGCTACATAATTTACCTTATGCATTGACACAAAGAACAGATTTAGAACTAAGAACTTTCATGCACAACAGAAAAATAGATTATTATTTACTGACTTTGATGCTTTTCATTTGACAATGTGAATAATTGTTGTCTTTGCTATGTCCTTTGATCAGATATTCTCTTTATGGGCTATTAGTCCTAGGAATTCTGGAGGATTGAGCTACACAACTTCTGAGGTTGGTGAAACTCTTTCTATCACAGGTATATTGATGAAGCTAATTTTTATTCCTCTGTTTATTTTTTCATCTTAATCAATGACAAGAATTTTCCCAGTTGTTAAGAACTTAGACGAACTTAATTGTCAGGAACCAGAACTTTCAAAGTATACGTTCACTTGAACTGCTTCTAAGATGCTCTGACACTTTGTGGGAGCTTACCCTATAGTCTTTCATACATGATAATAGGTTTTCTTGAGTGTTTTACAACTGGTATGGAGCCTCTTTAACTGGTGCTATTTTGCAACAATAGCAGGGCATAGATAATCTAAGCAACCATCTTAAGGACTGCAAATTTTGGAATTAAGAAATGCTTCAGAATGTAAGCGAAGGTTTTTTTTTATTTAAAAGAAAGGGGATACAGGTTGTAATTTGCCTAGGCTTCAAATAAGCTGATCTCTCTGAACTGATTAGATTTGGTAACAAGGTTTGGGGTACTGGTTCTTCATCTATATGTGCTTTTTTTAGTTGCAATTTTCCATGCTAGCTATACTAAACAAAACAATTTATTATTTCTTGTTTAACCAGGACTTGGTTTACTACTATTTCAACTATTCTTGTACCCAGTAGTTGAGAGGATTCTTGGGACAATCATGGTTTCACGCATTGGAGCAGTATGGCCTAAGTCCTGTGTTGATATTTCATCAGCACTGTACCTGGAGTTTTTTATTAGCTGTTTTTCATTCCTGGATTAAGTTCTACTAATTTTATTTGTAGGTTCTATCTGTACCTCTGCTATCAACTTACCCATACATAGCCATGTTATCTGGTTTTTGGCTATCAGTGGTTCTTGATAGTGCCTCAGTATTGAAGAACGTGTTCTCTGTAAGTTCTAGCTCTGTTCCTCCCTAAACTTGTTCGTGCATTTCTTAAACCAAAGAACAAATGCTTTACTATTTTGATTTTACTTATGTCAACAAATGTCTAGACTTTTATTGATATCCTTCTGACAAAATGATGCTGTTCATTTTGAATTTGTTTCAACACCTAAGAAAAAGCAATTGGACTTTAACTACTTTTAAGAACAATCTGCCTGTGTTAATCTTCTGTAACTGAGAGCATTACATGTATTTATTCCATTGCATGCCTTGCTTAATTCCTGACAGTGCTTTCTAGATCCTTCAGCAGCTTTTCTAGGCATCTCTGTATTTTGTTTCCCATGATCATTTGTTCTTCAATGTTCAATCAGGTGTCAATTACGACAGGGTTATTTCTTCTGCAAAACAGAGCTGTGGTATGTTTTCCATGGACCTAGTACTTAACTATTTGTTCTCAAATATATGGTTGTCGTCATTGGAAATAATATGATGCTTACTTGAATTCACAGTCCCAAGAACAAAGAGGAGCTGCTAATGGAATTTCGATGTCTGCAATGTCTCTTTCTAAAGCAATTGGTCCAGCAGCTGGGGGTTCTTTGTAAGTTGACTTAATCAATTAATCCAAGAATTAAATTCCAATTTTGCAGCTTTCATAGCTGGGGGTTCTCAGAGGATGTATGATGCGAATCATGCCCTAAATCAGAGTTTTCGTGGCGGCCATATGCAATATTAGTCTTTGATGTGGATAAATAAGCCTGAAAAAAAGAAAGGATCATCATGGAGTAACCCCCACTTTTTATTAATAAACAGTTAACGTTGTACAGCCGTATTATCCTTCAAATGGAAAAATTTTACAAGAACAATTTAGGTGTTTTATCTACCCTTACGTAGTTACTCCAAGTCCATTAGATCTCCCTTTCTTTAGTTTCTCCAAGTCCATTAGATCTCCCTTTCTCCTATTGCACTAAATTCATTTATCCTTTGTCTAAGTTTATTAGATCTGATTTTATGGATTTATTTTGCTAAAGTGCGGGATGACATGGCTGTATAGGTGTTGATTTCTTCCATGACTATGAAACCAATAAATTTACTTTTACCTTTTGGGGACCATGCAAAACACATCATATACTTCTTTTTGAACATGAGATGGGGTAACCTAAATTTGTGAGAGGTTATAAAGTGGTCTCTGCACTTTTACAATCTTGTAATGCATGGTTTGAAATGCTTAACTTTATTATGTCATAAATCCAGCAAGCCTTAATTCTACTGCAGCCTTTAGGCAAAGCCTAAAAATAGGTGTCGACCTTCATTTTGCGGAGATGAAGATGTACTTAAATTGTAAACTGCCTATCATTCTAAGGTGATGGTGATGACAAGAACGAAGCCGTGACTTGCTTCATCCTATCTATTTAGGTTGACATATATCTATCATTCGTATAGATGAAAACCCAAAAATAGTTTTGAGTAAGTTTCAAAAATAACTTGATGCTTAGCTGAGATGTCTGACACTATTCTGGTGTTAGTATAGGTAAGTAACAAATCAGGAGTCTACATGTTTCTTTAGTTTTTGGTTTCAAAGAAGCGGGGAAGGAGAGGAGGAGGTTCATTTTTCAAGCCATCATCCCACTCACTCTGCCTCTTTTTCATGCCCCTCTCTAGGTTTCTTTCACATGATCTGCTGGTCTTCAATGGCTTTTGTGTTTATAATGTGCTTTGGCAATTCATTTTGCTGCTGTGAATCACAGAGAATCCCTAAAAATACTGTGATTACAGATTCTCTTGGGCGCAAAAGCGTCAGGGTGCTTCAGTTTTGCCAGGTGAGAAGATTAATTTGAGCCACATTGAAATACTTATCTGAAGACTTCTATTGCGATAATTTTTTCATGTTGTAGAAAAACCAATTTTGTAAATGGATCCCAGATGCTTCTCCTTATTAATGCATGAGATTTAGTCAAATCATATTGGTAGAATAACTGATGGACCTTCCCATTCTTTTATCTGTGCAATTTCTTTGTCTCATGAGTGAGCCAGGAGAACTGGAGAAATTAAATGATGGGTTTTTATTTAATTAGTAGTAAAAATATGGAGTACCCAATTCCATGCCATCTTGCTTAAAAAATCTGTTTCCAAGAACAAGAATCATTTAATCCCCATGGCAATACTAATTATTCTGTTTTAAGTCTGTCAAAGAAAGTATGAAATCCAATGAAAAAGATGAAAACTGTGTCAAACGCTTGCACTAAGAATTACTCGTTGCTACATAGAGGAGCTTCCTACATGCATGTGAGGCTATTTATTCCTGGTCTTTTCTAAACTTTACATAGTGGAGCCTCATGAACTCGTTTTGCAGTATATTATGATTGATTTTGACTCAAATCATATGGAATGCATTTATATTAGGCTTGGACTAACCCTTTTGAGTTACTACCTAATGATTCTCAATCGATGAATTAAAATTATTCTGATTCAATGAAAATGCTTCCAATTTTAGCTATTGTGGAAATGAAAGTGCCAAGGGAAATAGAAACATAGTAGCGTATAGCATAGTAGCTTCTGGAAACCTCAAGAGTTATGTTTTACAGCTTTTTCATAGTTTCCAGATTTTCGGATAATAAGCTGATTATTTTTGTTCTTAGTCTTGAGTTGTCCAGCACTGGCATGATATCACAAGTTAACTACAATTATTTTTGGGTTCTTCCATTGTGACATTAATGTCTAAATGCAGGTGATCAGATGATTTTCTTCCTCCTTAATGTGATCGAGGTCATTGGTTTGCTAATGACATTCAAACCATTCCTAGTGCTTCCTGAAGATAATGTTTCCAACAGAAAACATGAGACTTCAGAAGAGAGCAGATAGTCACATTTTTGGACTGGTGGAACTGGCTTTCATCCATTAACATAGTTTTGCATTAGGTAAGACGGCTAAACATTGTTAAGAAGTCTGTAGTGCTGTTGAACTTTGTTAGCTGGAATAATTTTGAAAGGAGAAACCCATGCGTCTGTGTCATTTTCTTGCCAGGAAAGAAGTCCATGCCACAATACACCCGAATTGGCTTGAGTTGGGTGAAATGAACAAAGAGAAGCTGGAAAAACGTGTTTCAGAGACTATGTTCAGTTTCAAATATGGTTAAGAAAATTTTGGATGGTGTGCCTTGAACAGTCAGTAGTGGAGTTGACGTAGTTTCGTTTTAGTTCTTCCATTGACTGTAAAAACAGTGATGCCTATCATGTTCAAATATATACTGCTATTAGTCCCTTATAAAGAATGAAAATATGTTGCACAGAAACTTTTCGTTTTCTTTGCTAAATATATGGTTGAAGCAATTTGAACATTTGTTTCCTTAACTACGAAATGTATATTTCTTGTCAAGGTCTTCTCCTGTTGGTATACTTCAATCACCTATGAAAATTGATAATTGAAAATTTCAACTAAATTTCTAGTCATGCTAAGCACTAAAGTTAAAAAAATTACAAAATCTCTACCATATTTTTGAGCAGGGATAAAATCACTAAAGTCTGTTGAACCTTGCTCCTAGTTGCACTTTATTCTTATAAACTCCGTTAAATAGACATTGTACGCCCCTTTCCTTGATATTTTAAACACAAAAGGGCCTCTTTAATATTATCAAAAAAAAAAAGGGCCTCTTTAATGTTAATTATTTTTTTAAAAACGAATAGTCACTAAAGTTTGATCTCGTGTCATAGCATAGAAATTCCCATTGCAACTAGTTGCAGCCATTAGTCTCTCACTTTGAAAGCTTTTCTCTCATTCTAGAGAGAGATTTCTCCCCTCGGTGGGAGCCACACCTTCTAACAACTTTTTCAAAATCTTTCTCTTTTCGAACTCCAAAATAACAGAAAGCGGGAAGAACTATTTGATCTTCTCAATCTCCGATCGATGCAATTATGAACAACTGCAAGAATACTGCAGTGATTCATTCCTTCTTTCATCACCTCCTTACTAAGAATATTTCATTCGTCTGTCATAGCTAGCGCATTTTCAGTTAATAGCCATTTACTGTTAGTTCTTTTGGGTTGCAAGAAGAATGAGTTGAGCTTCCTTTTAATTTTCTTCTTTTTTCTGTTTGTTTGTTATCATTTGATTTCGTCTCGGTTTTCCAGATTTTCGCTTAGTTCTCAGATCTCTAAGCTATACTGTCTGGCTGGGGGACAGAGGCAAGGTGCGGTGGTTGACGGCGGTGCTTCCTTGAGCTGGACTGGGAAGACGCGTTCTGGTAGTTGAAGCAATATAGGCGGTGGGATTTGTGACTATGGAGCGTATTGAGGAGGTCTTACGAAAGTTTTCCTTATCGGAAAATGAACGGGAGGGAGTTTGCCTGGAGAACGAAGAGCTGGAAAAAGGTATAGAGGAGTGCAGATTGAGCTTGATTGGCAAAGTTTGGGGGAACAAGCAGGCTAACTTTACTGGTATGAAGAGCTTTGCCAATAACATGTGGCCTCAGGTAAGGAATTTAAAAGTTACTGAGATTAGAGCTAATATGTTTCAGTTTGGGTTTGAAAATAGGAAGGATATTGAGTTTGTGCTAATCAAAGGCCCATGGATATATGATGGTCAACCTTTAGTGTTGTTAGAGTGGAAGGAGGAATTGGAGGAGGAGGAGCTGGTGTTTAGTAAGACTACTGTATGGGTTCGGGTATGGAATATCCCCCTTCACTGGGCAAAGAATGAGGCAGGGAGGAAAATAGGTGGAATTTTTGAGGGGGTTAGAGAGGTTCTTATCCCTCAGGGAGGAGGAAAGGATGGTAGGCATTTAAAAATCCTAGTAGATCTAGATTTGAGAGAGCCCTTACCAAGAGGAGTTATGGTGAAAATTGTGGGGAGGACAAGATGAATCAAATTTAAATACGAGAAGTGTTCTGATTTCTGCTTCTGTTGTGGACTGATAGGACATTCTGAACGTCATTGTGCTAGGAAGAGAATGAACATGGACAAAGAGAATCAATATGGTAATTGGTTAAGGGCCAGCTTTCCTAGGAGTCCTAGGAGGAAAGCTAGGTATGAGAGGGAAGAGGAGAGATGTGAGAAGGAGGGGGAAAGAGAACCAAATCTGGATAGGGAGGGTAGTCTTCCTTACTTCCCTATGTTGACCTATACTAAAGAATTCCACAGGTTCTCTGGGAATCCTGGATCCCCAAATATCAAGGATGAGGGGCAGAATGTGGTCATGAAAAGGGGAACAGTGGGGGAGTTGTTAGAGCAGGAGGGGTTGGCAAAAGTGGGTGAGCATGGGGTAGGGAGGGAGGAGAGCAAGGGAGAGTGCTATGCACAGGAGGAAGTCAAGGAAGTTATTGAGGAAGATGGGGAAGAGGGGGGTCAGAAAAATGTAGTAACTGTGGAGGGGAAGGGCGGGGGGGAGGTAGGGGAGAAGGAGGCAATGTGGGTGGATGATGAAGATGCTGACAGGGTGGGAGAAGGTAGGGAGGGGAAGGGAAGGGGAGGAAGGGGGAAATATGCAGAAAATGGGTCAAAAGGGGTCAAGACCAGCACAGGGAACTACAAAGTCAGTAAGACATGGAAGAGGCTAGTGCAGGAGGTGAGTGGGAGGAAACCTCTGCAAGAGCTGGAAATAGGGAAAAGAAAGATAGATGTCAATAATGGGGGACAGTTGGTAGATCACAAGAAGGGTGAGGGTAAGAAAAAGGCGAGATTGATGGAGGTAGTTGAAGATAGTATTATGATTATTGAGGTGGTGGAGCCCTCCCTCAATGGGGCTCCCAAGTTCCAATGAGAGTTCTGGTGTGGAACTGTCGAGGTGCGGGAGCCCCTTGACAGTTCCCCAACTCAAGGAACTTGTGAGAGTCCATTCCCCTTCTTTGATTTTTCTGTCTGAAACAAAAAAGAAGAAGAGTTACATGAATAGTATTAAGCAGTGGGTGAAGTTTGATAATTTGTTTGCAGTAGATCCAGTAGGCTTGGTTGGGGGTTTGGCTGTAATGTGGAGGAATGATTTACAGGTGAAAACTATTCTGTTTACTAGTTTCACTATAGAACTGTTAGTGGCTGACCAGGAGGGAAAGGGAGATTGGTGGTGTGTATGTGCATATGCCAGTACGGATGATAAAGTGAGAGAACAACAATGGCAGGTAATAGAAAGAAGGAAATAGATTCGGGGAGATTGTTGGGTATTGATGAGAGACTTGAATGATATTACCTCCAATGGGGAGAAGTGGGGAGGTAGGATCAGGTCAGAAGCAAGTTTTGAGACGTTTAATAGGTTCATTACTAGGAATATGTTGATAGATGTTGGCTATGAGGGGGTTCCTTGGACCTGGTGCAACAACTAGGACAAGGAGGGAGAGGTAAAAGAAAGAATTGATAGTATTCTGGGAACAAGGCAATGGTGTGACAGTGTTGGAAAGGTGAAGTGCACTCATGTTGAAACTGAGGCTTCTGATCATTGTGCTCTGATTCTAGATACTACATCAGAAGAAAGGAAAAGGAGGAAGAGATTTATGTTTGATAGGAGGTGGCTCATGCAAGGGGATGTGGGGGAGGTGGTGAAGGAGGCTTGGGAGACTGATCAGCAGGGTTCTAGGCTTTTTAAGGTGCATTATAAAATTAAGCAAGTCAGAGTTAGCCTTCTGAGATGGAGTAGGAAGCTAAACATGAATTCAAAGCAACATATAGATCAGATTAAGAAAGAGATCAGGGAAGTGAGGGGAGTAGGAGTAGTGACAGTAGAGGTAAGATTGTGGGGCTTAAGAGGCAATTGGCAGAAGCATACAAGAGGGAAGAGATATTCTGGAGTCAAAAGGCCAGGGTCAAGTGGTTAACAGAGGGTGATAAGAATACAAGCTTCTTCCATGCAAGTGTAATGAGTAGGAAGAGGCAAAATAAGTTGAGGGTGTTACAGAAGAAAACTGGGGAGTGGTGCAATACTGAGGGAGAGATATGTGAGGAGGTGGTGGATTATTTTCAGCACTTATTCACATCTGATAATCCTACAGAGTTTGAGGAAATTTTGGAAGGAATCCCACTGTCTATAACTGCTGACATGAACAGAATGCTAACCAGACCAGTCTCAGAACAGGAAATCTACCAGGCAGTCAAATCCATGCACCCTAACAAGTCCCCAGGGCCAGATGGTATGTCTCATATTTTCTTTCAGAAATTTTGGCATGTGATCAGAGAGGATGTTATTTGTGCAATTCGTGGCTTTTTCCATTCTGGTCATATTCTTAAGTCTATCAATGAAACTCTGATTAGTTTTATTCCTAAAACAGACTGTCCCACTAAGATTACTGAGTATGGGCCCATCAGTTTATGTAATGTCCTTTATAAAGTCATCTCAAAAGTGCTTTCTAACAAACTCAAAACTGTTCTGGATTGTTGCATTAGCCCCTCCCAGTCTGCTTTTGTTCCTGGCAGGCAGATCTTAGATAATGTTCTTATTGCACATGAATGTATTCACTTCCTGAAAAACAAAAGAACTGGAAAAAATGGTTATATGGCTGTTAAGTTGGATATGTCTAAGGCTTATAATACGGTAGAGTGGGTTTTCTTGGCAAAGGTTATGCAGAAAATGGGCTTCTGTCCCAGATGGATCCAATGGATTCTTGAGTGTCTTTTTGGTGTCTCCTATTCTGTAAACATTAATGGGGAAAAGAAGGGGTTCTTTAAGCCATCTAGAGGGCTCAGGCAGGGAGACCCTTTATCTCCATATCTTTTTCTAATTTGTGCTGAAGGTTTTTCTGCTTTATTAAGGAAGGTCACTAGAAGGGGTACTCTATCTGGTATGAAAGTTGCTAATGGTGCTCCTAGTCTGTCGCATTTGTTCTTTGCAGATGATTCACTCATATTCTGTAGAGCCAAGGCTACTGATGCAATGCAGCTCATGAGGATTTTGGATATCTATGGGAAAGCTTCAGGACAGCTCATAAACAAGGAGAAGTCTTCAATATTTTTCAGCAAAAATGTAAAAGAAAGACAGAAGGATGAAGTGCTGAAGTTACTGGAAGGAATGCAGCAAGTGCAGCAGAGCAAATATTTAGGATTGCCCTTAGTCATTGGGAGATCTAAAAGACAAATATTTGACTTTGTTAGGCAGAGGACAGTCAACAGGCTGAAAGGATGGAAGGAAAAGCTTCTGAGTCAAGCTGGCAAGAAGGTTCTGCTTAAGTCAGTCATTTTAGCTCTCCATGCTTATGTATGTCATGTTGCAGATTACCAAAGGATTTAACTAGACTCATTTGCTTAGAAATGGCTAGGTTCTGGTGGGGACAAAGGGAGGATGAAAGGAAGATACACTGGATTGGGTGGAGTAGAATGACTGAAACTAAGTCAGAGGGGGGTCTTGGTTTTAGGGACCTGCAGGATTTTAACCTAGCATTACTAGGAAAGCAGCTATGGAGGATCCAGATGAGACCAAACTTGTTGATGAGCAGAATAATGAAAGCCAGATATTTTCCAGAGAAGTCTGTATGGGAGGTAAGGCAGAAGGGCAGTGACTCTTGGTGTTGGAAAAGCCTTTTGAGTGCCAGAGGGATATTGGAGGAAGGGATGCGAATAAGGGTGGGAGATGGTGATCAGATTAAGGTGTGGGAGGACAGATGGCTACCTGATACTGAGGATGGGAGGATAAGATCAAAGAGGAATCCAGAGAGTACAATTCAAAGGGTCAGTAAGCTGATTAAGGATGGAAAATGGGATCAAGAGCTGCTATTGCAGGAATTTGATGAACCGAACAGATTGAGCATAGCAAGGATCCCATTGAGTCTGGGCAAGAGATAAGATAAGGAATATTGGGCAAAGTCAAGTTCAGGTGGCTATACTGTAAAGTCTGGTTATAAATAAGTAAAGGAAATGAAAAGGGGGAACAGATGTTTTAAAGGGAATCTAGAGTCAACTAGCATTACGAGGTCGAAGTCTCAGAACTGGAACTTCCTCTGGGGTCTAAACATGAAGACCAAGTTAAAACACTTCATTTGGAAATGTTTGCAGGGGATTTTACCAACCAATGCAGTGATGAGGGAGAAATGTGAGAAAGGGGATCCTGTGTGTAGGTGCTGTGGAGAAAGTGTAGAGACATTGGAGCATATGCTTTTCATGTGCAGTAATGCTAGAGCAATTTGGAAAGCTGCTCCATTGAGTTGGGAGGGGTTGGAGGTGTTTAATAAGAGTTTTTGGCATTGGTGGGAAGAGCTTAGGGGGGCCATGGGTAGAGTAAATGGGAGATTTGGAAGGCCAGGAATGACAAGCAATTCAACAATAAATGCATTGATCCAAGGATAGTAGTAGATAAGGCAATGCTGGAGTGGAATGAGTATCAATTGGCCCAGGGTGCAGGGACAGTGGAAGAGGGTAATAGTGTAGGAAAGGTGGGGGCAACCAGAGGCTGGGAGAAACCACAAGATAATTGGATTAAGATCAATACGGATGCAGCCCTGAACATGAAGCGAGGTAAAGCTGGATGGGGCATTGTGGCAAGAGATAGGCATGGGAGGGTGATAAGATCCTGGGCATGTCCAACTACAAGCTGTGCAAATGCAAAAGTTGAGGAAGCCTTGGTGATCAAGGAGGCGATGGGGCTACCCAGGAGAGAGGGATGGAGGAAGGTGGAGTTTGAATCAGATTGTAAGTTGGTGGTAGACAAGATTAATGCGTATGAAGAAGATAGTACCATAGCTATTATACTGGCAGATATTTGGAGCCTGCGTACTAAATTTGATAAATGTTGTTTCTCCTTCACAAGAAGGTCAAACAACTCTATAAGTCATCAATTAGCAAAATTTGTTATAGATTTGATAGATATTGCTGAATGAAAGTGTGACTTCCCAACATGGCTGCTAGAGCTAGCTCAAGCAAACTTGAAGGAGGATAGACTCTGACTTTGTACTGTTTTATGATTAATATGATGTTGCCGTTTGGAAAAAAATGTTAATTATTTTTATGTTTCTTTTTCTCCTTTCTCATTTGTCGCTTATCGCGCCCTATTTTTTTTGAAATAAAAGAAATGGCATTTAAAAATGAGTATTTGATTTTAGAAAATAAACAAAATTGGCTAAAATGGGGCTTTTAAATAATGCGATGATTTGAGTCCAAAATATTAGTCTAAAAAGAGTTTTAAAAAAAAGAGAGTTGACACTTAGTATCGAATTTGGGTGTATCAAGTCATTCAAAATATATTTTAAATAAAAAATAATTAAAACCCTTTTAGACGACTCCAGATCTTTGAAAATAAGAGAAAAGAGTTCGAGAGTCACGGTTGAAGAAAGGGAAGATAAAAATTTGATCTAAGGCACCGTTTTAATCTAACCAAGGTTAGTTGCAAGATTTAGTCAAAAATTTTCTTAATCTAACCTACAAAATTTATCATATTTGGATGCTTCTATATGGATGCATATCCAGATCTAGGAAATATCGAGAGGGACGGGATGTCTGTTTAAAGTGTAATTGATACAAATCATATTAATTGTAAAGTCAAAAAATAATCCCTTGAAAAAGTCACGAATATGCAAAAAATGAAATTCAAAAAAAGAAATTATAATATATAGATATATATATATATATATATATATATATATATATATATATATGATCTAGAAGAGGGAATGCAATATAATAGGTACGGGAGACTAAGATTCGTGATTCAATTTTCCTTTTTATAGAGGGATAATAGCGTGTTAACGGTAAAAAGTCATACTCGTCCATTTCCCATATTCGAAGACAAGCAAATGAACTAACTTACTTCTAATTTCCTAAAATGAGGTGCAATTTTAAATGATATAGTTCAAACATATAGAGGGTAAGGGAATAATAGCAGAGAAAATATCATGTAAATAAAAATAACCAAAAAATTAAAAAACTATGTGAGATGCAATAAATGTCACACCAAAGTATGAATCTAGCATATTTATGGCTTAAAAGGTTTAGTATTGGACTAGTCCATTTCTACAAGTTCTCACTAGTATTAGACTAGTGAGAAATCGAGGAGAAAAGCCACAACTAGCATTGGACTAGTGTGGTGATATCATATGCTTATTATAAATAAACAAAGCATATAGAGTATAATTAAAACAAATAAATACATAGAGCACATAGATCATATAGCACTTAGGCATAATATGTAGATGCGCAATCCTAGAAAAAGTAAGTAAACATGTAAGCACATAAACACACAAGCATGCAAGCAAATAAAACCTAACTATTACATTTGGAAACCCTATTTACAATCTAAAAGGGGAATTTTGGAAAAATAATAAACATATCTATTACATTTATCTAACTAAAACATTTCTTGGAAAAAAAATAAAAATAAAAACTATATATTACATCACCTATCTAAATACATTTTTTTGGACAAAAGGGTAAAACCTATGTATTACAATTTGACATTTAAATGCTCCCAAATAAACATAAAAAAATTAAATAAATGAAAGCTTATTATTTTAAAAGAAAATGTAAACATATACCAAATTCACCTTATTATTTTAAAGAAAATGTGAATAAACATAAAACAAACAAAATTTACAAATTAAATGCTTAAATGAAACACAATTAACAATTAAAGGAAAGAAGCAATTATAATTGAGAAACCAAAAACGAATAGGGACTAAATTGCAAAAATTAGAAAGTTTTTGTGGTCAAATTAGAATTCTATAAAGCTTAGGGACCAAAATACAATTAAATTAAGGATCTAAATGAAAGAAATCTAAAATTTTTGAGCCACAATAAAATTACTCAACAGATTAGGGGCTGAACTACAAAATTCGGTTTCTGACTTGGGCAAAACAAACGAAATTGGGCCATTTATTTAGTATATTGGGCCATCTACTCTAGCCCAAAATAAAGACACAAACTAATCCACAAAAAAAACAAACAAACTGTGACGACCCTACTTCCTCCTAAGGCGAACCAAAGGGTTGGCGGGCCGCCTGCCTAGCTCTCGCCAGGACTCACGCAAGCATTCTAACCCAAATCCCTTCGAAGAATAACCTAATCTATTACAAAACAATTTTCCCGAAGAAGACCGTCACTAAAATCACATTAACTTCAGAGATAGCGGTGTTTTAAAATAGCCAATCGAAGCTCTTAAACGTCCCACATGCTACAATCCAAGGTATAAAGTCGTACCAATCCGGATAGATAATTACATACATCACTAATACAAACTTACAAGCCAAACGCTCGAATTAGGGTTTACACATTTTCCAGCTTCAAGTGGTAATCCAAAATAAAAGTACATTATCCAAATTAACGCATTACAGCCCACAAAATAAGTCATAGCATTCAAATGCATTCCAAAAGGAAAACATGAGTAAGTTTCAAAGCTTTCAATTTCCAGCACCTGTTAAAGAAAACAAGTAAACGTGGGGTGAGCTAAAGCTCAGTGGTGCCCCAAAACATGCAATCACGTAAATCAAACAGCGCGTAATAACTTAGCCAAATTGAACAGTTAGGAAAGCGTATAACAGCACAAGGTAGGATACAGGGGCCCTCAGGAGCCATTTTCCTCGCTTGATCACCATGCATCGTAGTTGACCCTCCGTCAACTCTCACTACTTATAGTCCATGTAGATCCACTCATTTTAATCCTAACCCGTCACCGTACGTACCCCTGTCCCGGGCCCGAACACCGACTAAGGAAGCAGTATACTCGAGATATACCCTTAGAAAATTTGGGAGCAGTATACTTGAGTATACCCTCAGGAAATTGGTCGAGGGATTCACCCAGCGACATTTCCGTAGTTGGATTCAGAAGTCGAGGGATTCACCCAACGACGCAACTACATTTAGATTCACGGATTCATGAGAAAAGATGTTTCACGCAGGTCACCACTCGAACGGCTAGTGCGATAAAGTACACACTGCTCACTTCGATGGATCAAAAACTAGTTTTGCAAATTATCACATATTGAGTCAAGAAAGCACTTTAACCCGGTAAGCATGGAACAAGCAGGGGCACTCACCAAGAGTGAAGTTCAGATGTCAAGTTGGGAATCGAATTCCGCGTCCTCGCAATATCCTAAAATACCAAATTTTGAAACTATAAGTTTTCTATTCAAATTTTAAACTTATTCGTATAGGGAATTATCTAATATATTGCTAGTTTACTTTCTCAAGAAATTTCAAAAATCTACTTAGGTTGAAACTTGACAAAAGTAGTAAAAATGTTTCTTATAGTTTTCCTTGAGATACTTTTCCTTAGAAAAGGGTAACTAGTATTATTTTCTTGAAACAATTCGACCATCCACTTAGGATTGAAATTTTGTAAAAGTAGGAAATGTTTTATATGGCTTTCCTTAAAAATATTTTTCTTTATACAAGTGCGGCTAGTACTATTTTATTTAGAATAAATTTTCCTTGCCGAGGAAGTTTTCTGCTATTTTTAGTTAAAGTCACTAAAATCTTGTATTTGGAAATTTTCCTCTAGACAATTAGCCAGGGACAGTTTTAAGGAAAGAAAAGGAAATAGATCAAGACTTAGGGTTTTAAAACTAGTGAAATCATTTTCTAAAGGTAATAAGGCTAGTTTACGTTTAAAGGAGAAATATCGAGTTGGCAAGGTTTAGAAAATCCCTACACGAAATTTCTAACTTTAACATTCAGTGCTAAGTTTTATCGTACCATACTAGAGTGAAGATATATTTAAATAGCTTGCTTAAAAACTTCTCAAGTTCGCAGGACCAAAATGGATTCCTTACGATTCCGATTTACAAGCACATAATATTTCAGATTTGTCAATATAACCAACTCACATTTCAAATAGAAATCTCACTAGGGCTTCGTCAATCATTAGCCCTAGGTTTCAACAGATTCAATTCTGATCAAGAATAAAACGAATGACCAAGGTTTCGTCAATCATTAGCACTTGGTTTTGGCAAGCTCATATCACATCTTAACTAAAACAAAATGAAGGTAAGGCCTCCAAGAAATTCCAGCAATTAAAGTTCATCACTCTTTAATATTTATAAAATCATTCAAATGGCCAAGGGCTTCATCAATCATTAGCCCTTGACAACCATCAATCACTTCCAACCACAATTCAATCAGGAATTCAAATCACAAATAAGCTAAATGTTCGATCCAAGTCAAAATTCAGTTTCATGAAGAAACAGGACATTCAAGCAGGACAGCCTACTTTGAGGAGTCACGGACAGCAGTACACATGGAGGAAAAATATGAAATTTCTACAGAACAAAGGCCCATGATTCTAGTTTCAAATGCCACTGACGGCACCTTAAACGAATTTTCCTACACCAAGATATAAGCATTTTTCTGAGACTGGTCAGTAAAATCCGAAAATCTGAAATCTCATTTTTCACTTGTGAAAAACTCCTTTGTTAACACTAACTTGACATGCAGAGGATGGTTGTTAAGTTACAGAGTGTATTGTGCAATAATACGAAATTTTCAGCCCAAAACAACATTTTTAGAACTAAAATTCGCCACAAGAAATCTGGAAAATTCCTTTACTATCTCTATCAACTTGCTTGAGAAGTTTCTAGGTCTACACTTCAACATTTTTGATCAATTCAAACCACCATTCAAATGTTTCACATCAACATATCTTATAGAACTTTAAAACTACATATTCCAGGCATTTCCAACCATTATGCTTCAAAGAAAAATTTCAAAACCAAGCTGAGATTCCAACTCAACCTTCGGCTATCACAAAAGAAATTCTAGCCTTTATATATCAACATTTTTTGTTCAATCTTTCAATATATCCAATACTTCATTGCTAAACAACTTAAAATTTACATCTCTTATGTATTACTAAACCACTATATTCCAAGGGAAAAATAAAATAAATTTCCAG